ATATATATATATATATATATATATATATATATATATATATATATATATATGTATAATTAGAATAAACAGATAATCTGAAATTTGCAAAATTTAATCTTTTATAAATTGTAATTTATGCATTAGTAAATATATATAGACATATATATATACAATACACAATCATTTAAAATATTATCTCTAAATATTGTATTAAATAAGAATTTCATACATAAATAATGTAATAACAATTTAATAATTTAAATGTCTCATAATATTAAAGTTTAATATAATAGTATAAAGTTTTTGTGTATATAAAAACTTTACAAATATTCAGTTAAATATTAATATATAAATGAATAATTTAATAAGATACATTTTAAATTTTTCAATTTTACAATATAAGAATTTTTAGCTATATAGAACATTATTTATATAGTTTGTAAAATGCATTTTATAATACATAAAGATCTATCCATACTCGGAAGTGACTGTTAAGCTAAAGTTTTTTCCTATAACATAAGTGCTATGATACCAAATTCTCGTATCTAATAGGATAATATCTCCAGCATTAACAGTAAAATTAAAACGCGTACAAATATTATCACATTCTGGAGTTGGAGCAACACTCCATGTTTTATTGCCTATAATTTGTCCTTGCCACATTAAACGCGATATATAATCTAGCTGTAAAATAAAAATAAATCAAAATCTACAATTAATTAAAAAATAATTGAAAAATAAATTCATAAAATTATTGTTATTATACATACATGCATAATGGCACCTTCTTCATATCCTAAAAAAACATAATTGGAATAAGGAACCTCTGCATCCTCTGGTAAAAAATGAGGAAGATTGTAATATTGTTTCATGACATCTAAAATCTGAAGGTGACAATTTTTCCAACCAACATACCAAGGATCTTCACCATTAAGTTGCATAGCTCTTTCTTCATTCATAGCAAAAACATCACGCAAATTAGTGAAATTACTTTTAAAATGTAAGAACTGACATTCATCTACTGAATCATAAGCACCATCAATATTCTCATATAAATCTTTGAAAAATTTCCAGTTAAATACTTTTGAAGCTGGCCAATTACTTGCAGCATGTTTTATTATCATAGGTATAGAAGAATAAGCATACTGTTTGAATTCTTCTCTTGTTAAATTTGATAAGATCAGTGCTGAAGTAACATTCTGACAATAATCACAATTTGATAATGGTCTTGTAAATTCCCATATCAAATAATTATTTGGTATTAAACACCTAGTTCCTCGAATACTTTTGATTATATCAAAATATAAATATTTAAAAAGTATGCTTAAAAATATTGGCATAAAAAAGATAAAGAGAATTTTTTTAAAACAAATATAATCTGAGATATAATTTTTTTTATATTTTGTATTATTTTTTACACTTGCAGATTTAAGCTCTGCTAGTGATGCACCTTGTTCCAAAAAGCTCTCAGTTAAAGCTACAAATGCTTTTTGTATATCTTCTAAGGTATTATTACTTTCTTCCATTATAACAATCTCAATAAGTATTCAGTATTTAATATAAATTTAAATAATTTTGAGAAAAATAAAGAAAAAGAAAAAAGAGAAAAATATTTTATATTTTTTTTTTTATTCATCAATTTCCGTAGTATTTTATTGCTGATTTGTTCATTTATATTCTGGTTATTTATATATTTCAAACTAATGAGAAAATTAATCTTGTTATCAACAATTAACAATTAATTACTTTTCATCACATTTTCTTAAAATTAATTTTTTTTCACACTTTATTTAATTGCATAATCACATTTTTCATTTATTAATATTATTAGCATTAAAATTTATGCTATAGAGAAAACATTATTCGACTATATGAAAAATATTTATTATATGTTGGTTAGAAATATATCCATATTAATAATAGCAAATTGATGTGGTATTTTATTATCTATACAAAATATGAAAATGACATTCAAAAAGAATAAAAAAAATGACGTTGACGTTTAAATAATATTAATATAATATAAAAATAAAAAGAGATTGTCACAAACTATAGATGCTATATATACATTACATATATATCTTACATATAGAACATCATTTGTGTAACACATACAAATACTATTTTAAACCTTGAACCGTTTAAGTAAAACATTTCACAAGAATGTGAAAGTTTATAATTAATTCTGATTCAAGGATTTTTCAAATAATTCTTACATTTATTTATATCGAATAAAGCTTATGAGCTTATTACTTTCTTCCATTATAGCTAGCTAGTTTCGAATAATTTGAAAATTTAATAAAAAAACTTCCTATTTACATATCTATTGTATGTATAAACAGATTTAAACATTCTTTAATTATACAAATAAAGAATCAAATACTTAAAATTTTTGAAATTACATATTTGATATATTTTGTTTGCAAAAATTATTTAAATTAACAATGAATATTTTAATATATAAAATTTTGAAATCGAATTTATATATAAGTAAATGAAAAAAAAAATAATACAATAAAGAAGACTTAAAATTGTTTATTTTTTATCAAATCACACAACATGATGTACAAGTCTTGTTTTAAATGGACATTGAATTTTTCAAATGTGCAAATAGTTATGAATTCCATATAGATATATAATAAATACAAGTTTGATTTGTTGTTTCCAAATTCTCATTTTTTCAGTTGTACACGTTATACAGTATAAAACCTAATTTACAGCAGTTATAATACTAATGTTACGTAATAATTTACGCTCGTCGAGATATACAGTCCACTTGAATTTTAGTATATAATAAAATTTTAAGATAATTTATATTCTCCTAGACAATTTTTTTTATCTTATATGTAGGCCAATATCAAGACGTGTGCAATTATATTTTGACAAATTCGTTGTTTTTTAATCGAACATTGTTATTATTACATTTTTTATTCATATAAAATGCGGACTATATTTCTTGATAACTTAATTTATTGCAATTTGATGAATGTTATTTATAATTCGTACTCTTTAATTCTTTTTTAATCAAGTCAAATTAGTTTGCAACATTTTTGTCTTTAATGTAACATTTAAGAAAATAAATTTATAAAAATATGAAACAATTCATTTTTTTGAATATTTAAATTATTATAATTTTAATCTATGTATTATATTTAATATTGTTAAATCTAGTAAAAGTTGAATTATTTCTCGACGAACTTCAAAAGATTGTAAATGCAACATCATAACTTCTTTCTTCACTTCCTCCTATAAATGTAATTTTACAAATATTTCACTTTTATTTAAAAAATTTAAGTTTTCCTATTTAAATAAACAAAAAAGATGAAATGCTTTTATCTGGTCTTTTAAATGACAATTCTTTTTTTTCTTAAAATAATAAAACATTTTTTTTAATATAAATATATTTTTATAAGAATCAAAAAACCTTTGTTCATTAAAATTATAATTTTTTTTCCCTAGTATAATAAAAATTTTTTTTAATATAAACATATTTTCTTTTAAAACTTAAAAAAACTTATTATATTTACAAATCTTACATATGATTCAGAGAAATCAAGAGAGAAAAGTTACAGTTACAGTATTAATTCAATATATTAAAAAATGTTAATAAATTCAAAAATCACAATATCATATAAACATTTTTTTTAGAAATTACGATTTTAAAGTATATTTAAATACAAGTCAATTTCTATAAAATAATTTTACCATTATTTTTAACAAAATTAAAAATTATCTAAGAAAATTTCCTTAATAGAATATTTTTATTAGAACATATCAATTATTATCCAACGCAAAATAAGTTACTTACTGTTAAAAATGTGTGACTAGTACAGTCGTGTTTGTATCAATGCTTACACCTGATTACGCTTTGTTTTTGAAAAGACAGAAATTTCCTTCAATATTTGATCAGAAGTAGCACCACTTGCCAAGAATAGCATCTTTTATAGCTGATATATATTGTGCAGGAACCCAATATATCCAATATCTCGAAGCCTCAGTTGTGCCTAGTTGTATAGCCTAAAATTTAAAAAATATTTATGTAATTATTTACTTTTATATTAATATTCCAGATATTAATAAAATATTCTAAAACTCAAGCTTAATATTTCAAGATAGAATAATTTATATAATGTAATTCTGAAATTATGAAATTGACAGACCATAATATGGTATTCTGGGTGATCATGTATTGGTTCACTGTGTACACCTTTTATGGAATTCATAGGTATTTTATCTGTTCTTTCTTTTGTACCAATCCAAAGCTGATCTTGTTCCAATTTAAATGTTAATCTAACTTTACCACCAGATTTATTTAACATGCCAGCCAATGGAAATTCTGGTAGTGGTTCCTAGAATTAAAACCAATTAAATTAATTATAATATAATACTTAATTAATTTAATAATTAAATATAGATATAAAAATTATTATTTTAATTAATATAAATAAATCTTACCTTACTATCTAATATACCAGGCATCACATCATCTGGCATACCTTTATCTAATACTTTCCTATGCATTTTCTGTTGAGATAAAGGTTCCTTATTTGTAGTGGAAGCAGCTTCATCTGATAAATCTTGCTTTGTTGGAATTGAAATGGCTAATACATCATCTAATTTTGATCCTACTACCATAACTTTGGCACCTTAAAATTATTATAATAAAAAATATATATTAAAAATCAATTTTTTTAATTAATTTTTAAAAAATAAGATTTTATCGTATTATAAAAATTACCTTTCGTCACACCCAAACTTCTTAATGTTTGTTCATCTTTGGCTAATCCTTTAATCATAACTTTTTGCATAGCTTGAGGCACAGATATGATGTTTTGAAGATGAGCCTTTAATTCTGCCACTGTACCATCAAGTGGAAAATTTACATTAATCCTTTGTTTATTATAAATTACTTTGAAGTCTATATTCTCTTGGGGTGGATCTTGCGAGGTAGTTGCAATATTACTATCTGTTTTTTGTATATCTTGAATCTCATATTTTGATGTTGAATCTTTTGTTTCTATCAATAAATTTTCATTAGAATTTGTGTTTGATACTAATTCAGTATAAGAAGTTGAGTTACAAGAGTTGTCGTTGCTTTCACTTTTTGCAGCATCTATAAAATATGAGAAATTTAATGTATTTCAATATTTCAATATTTACATTATTATATCAAATATAATATAATTTCATGTAAATAAGAATACAGTTATTTTTAATAAAAATAATTAATAGATTATAAAAAAAATAGAAATTTAAAAATCGTGTAAATTATAAAAGAAAAAATTTTATGAATAAGAAGGTTATGTTTAGAATGACACATATTAATGAAAAAACAGGAAAAACACAAATCATTAACAAAATTTATAAATGTCGAATACTATATTTTTTAAATAATTTAAAACTAAATTTATAAAAAATTCTATAAAAATAATTATTTTCACGAAACTAATTCAATATATACAATTGCTCACTATAATATTTTATAATATAATTTTTTCGGAAAGTAGATATTAGTAGATATATTTAAAATAATTAAAAATAAATATAAAAAATAATGATGAAAGATATTTATTGAATAAAAATTATTAATAAAAACACGAAAATCGTCAAGTTAGCACGTACCGACGTACTCCATGATGAACTGTATTTCATTGACCAATCAAACTATTGCAGGATCCGTTGCAGTTCCTGCCATTCGTATTTACTCTGATCTTTGGAATGACTTTCAAATTTTCAAATATGTTCTAAAAATGTAAAACGAAAATACTTTCTTTATTTAAATTTAGCTTCAATTTAATATAACATAATAAAATCTTTATCATTTAAATGCCATCAGAAATTTTTTAATTTTATACATAAAAAGATAATTGTATATACAGGCTGTTAATATAATCCATTAATATTTGTGGAACTTATTTTCGAAGAGTCGATTCTAAAGATCAAAATTAATATAAAAACTAATATATGTAAGTAACTACAAGAATATCAGTTTTAAGATTTATTTATTAAATTATAAAGGAATTGAAGTTTGTTTAGAAAAGTTTAGAAGTTTGTTTAGAAGTTTAGAAAAGGCGAGATAGATAGATAGATCAAACAATTTTATTTGCGTCACATTGCCACTTTTCTATTTTTGTTTTCATCTAACATAAAAATTATTTATAATTTAATAAATAATTCTTAATCGATATTTTTGTATATCAACATTTATGTTTGTTTTATGATTTCTAAGAATCTACTATGTTAATGAATATTTTAATGTTTTATATAATAAAAATATATATAAAATGTAAATATATGTAATAAATATGTATTAAAAAAATATATTTTAATTGTTCATTAAGAATATTTAATTTAATAAGTAATTTTAATTACAAGTTTCAATAGAAAATTTATTGTTCATATTTATTGTGATCATGATTATGAATAAATAAATAAATTTTCAAATCTTCTTTTTAATATTTGATTTATTTTTTTAGAAATTAATAATTATTCATATAATTATTTCAAGTAAAAATAAAATTTCATATATTTTTTCATTTTGTTAATTTTTTAATAAATTTTGAAATATGCAATTATTTTAAATCCTCTATGTGCAATATATGCTTATATATTTTTTTTATTAGACAATATTAGATAACAATATTAATTAATGTATATAGGTTAAGTTTTTGTTTTTATAGATTTTGTTTTGTTAGAAGTACGATAAAGAAAGTTTTCACTAAATAAATGTTTATTTTTATTTTATTTTTTAATTTTATTTTCTTTTATATTACTTAAAAATCTTATAATTTTTTATATTAGATATTAGTTAAAATATATTATTCTATTTAAAAAACTTTATTTTTGATATTATAAAATAAAGAAACTTATCTATAAAATGATAAAGTAGGTAATTTCAATTACCAATAATCGGTATATTTGGAAAATTTTAAATTTTAAATTCATATGATGTAAGGTGGCGTAGTAATCAGAAATCGCCATCTTGTGCACCACATGACCTCGTTGCCGTGTCCCGTGACCAGCTCACGTGAATTTTGACAAATTCAAACGTTTTTGGTAGAAAAAAAAATGGATATTTTGGAGCAGCATCTCGAACAACAGGATGTCAGGTAGTGTTTATGTTAAATATCGACTGGCTGATAATGCGAACACCTATCCCTCCTGTTTCGCTCGAGGTCTCCTCAAGGTCATCACGTAGTGCACAGTGCGCACTTACAAGACTTAGGACAACGGTCGTGGAAGTAATAGGCATAGACGTAACTCTAAAGATAATTTACATATCCATTCTTCAATGTATTTATGTTTGTTTTACAGTACTGTTAACGCAAAGGATGACGGTGGCACAGGAATTGTTATTGAAGAAGCGGAAATCGTAGACTGCGAAGGTAAATATATTTTTATCATAAATATTTAGAAATATGTTTTTCAAAAATTGTTTACATATGATTGAAAGTTAATAATATTTACTAATTATTATAAATATATAATTTAAAATGTGAATTTTTTGTAGGAGAAACTGTTGCAGAAGATGGAATGCGTTATCAAGAAGCACTTGCATATAGAGTAGTTCAAGTAAATGGAACTACTGCTGGCAATGAAATAGAACTGCCAGTCACCCAACCAGGAAATAACACTGTACAGGTCCTGACATCTCCGTTAAATGGCCAGTTTTATGTTATTGGAAATGCCAATGATGTTTTCACAACTGCACAAACTTCTAGATCATTGGTTCCTAGAACCACTACTTTACAAATAGAAACACCAAGGAATTGTACCACTGTATTAAAGAAGGTAAATATTTTGTTATTTCTTAAAAAAGTCTTGAAATTCCTTTGACTGATATGTAATATTTTAGAGAGATGATAGAAGAAGAGCCACTCATAATGAAGTTGAACGTCGACGAAGAGACAAAATAAATAATTGGATTGCAAAATTGGGAAAAATTATTCCTGAATGCAATGCAGCTGCAAATGGAAGTGGTAGTGGTAGTGGTGAAGGGAAGGCAAATTATGAAACTCAGGTAATAAACTAAGATATTAAATTTGTGGTTTTAAAACATATATAAAGATAGTAATGCTTTTATGGATTTCTTGTGCAGAGCAAAGGAGGAATTTTATCAAAAGCTTGTGAATATATAACAGAATTAAGAGCAGCTAATCAGGGATTGGGTCAATGTTTACGTGATAACGAAAAACTACGACAAGAAATAACTGCTTTGAAACAACTCGTTGCACAATTGAAACGTGAGAATCTTCAACTCAGATCACAAATCTCGCCCTCTACAGGAACGAACGTTGACGTTTGAATCCTTAAAGTTGTTAGTTTATAATACATTGCTTTTTTTTGTAAATATTAGGATATATGATCTGATCGATGATTAAAAAAATATTTCCTTTTTGGTTTCATGGGAACTGAAACAAATTTCATCATACTGAAGTTACAAAAATTTTTTGAAATATCGGTCCTAATGGTATGGTGACAATTATCGTCATAACTTTGTATACCTTTATGCTCCTCTATTAGATTTTTAAATAACGTAATGTGAATATAGCGTCATTTGTTTTACACCAAATTATATTTGTTTTTTGATTAAATAATTTGATTAAATATTGAAATGTTATAATCTTAATATATTCATGAATATACTATGGGTGACAATTCATAATTATCGAATAATGTCAATGAAGTTGGATCTATTCGTTCGTTACATAAAATTTATGAAAAAAAATTTTATTTTTATGTATGCATGAGTGCGTTGGATCGAATTACCTCGTGTATCTTGAACGAGCCAAGGCTGTGAATATTAAACATTGATTTGAATTTTTCGGATGTGCAATTTTAAATGAATAATTAAAGTTAATTTAAAAAAAAAGAAAATAGACAAAACAGTTTTATTGCAGTATAATTATGATGCAAAGTATGACGACTGAATCATTACAAATATTATTAAATATTTTTTATTTTTAATACTGTTTTCAGAAGTATAGAATGCATATTTCGTAAAAAATAATAATCTAGGAACTGAGAATGTAAAATAGATTAATCGTACACGTATAAATGTGTATATATATTTATATATGTATATATACATGTGTGTGTACATATGCATATACGAACACATATAGCAATAAACATATTTTTTTCAACTCATGATTCTAGACGCTATAGACGAAAATACGTTGGAATAATTGAAAAAATTAAATATTGATTTGTAATATATCGTTGATGTACATACCGCGAAGGTTATTGTTATATTATATTATTATTATTATTAATATTATTATTATTATTATTATTATTATTAAAATGAAATTTATCGAAATATCAGTATTTTTATTTAACCATTAACAATTTTAAATAAAGTTTAATCTTTTTATGCGTAATATTTATTCGTTTTTTACATATGATACAATGGAAATGTCGAAGTTATTGGAACACTGTTTCTTTTTAACGATAAAAGATCTTGCATTTTAATAGTTTTAACACTTTGACACTTTTTTTTTTAAACTTTTAGACCATATTTCAACGTTTAAAATAACATCTACTTTTATATAACGTTTGTATTCGTCACTTAACACGTTTACATAATACACTATTATAATACAATATTTAATACTCTTTAATTCCATTCCTTTGTAAAAAGCTACCACATCAGCCCTTGCTACAACAAAGTTAAAAAGCAATTATTTTCTTCTTTTCAAGAGAATAACAATGTATGGATGAATGGGAAGCTTCTTACGATATTTTTACTTTAACTTTGCATACATACAAAAATTTCTTCGTAAAAAGGAATCTATTTATCTATATAAATAGATTCTTTCATGATTGAATTTCATTCGCGGAAAATAAAATAATCGGAAGCTTAATTCGCCAGACATCGCATCATTTATCCCAACAATTTAAAATAATTACATATAGATTCATTCCATATATGAATTAACTCATTATAGTACTTAATGTATAAATATTTGCTGAAATTGGAAATACATTTAAGGATGTCCTATAACTTTATTATATATATTGGTTTAACGTTACGAATGATTTTTTTGTTTGAACATTAGATTTATACACATAAATTTATAATAGATTTTATATTTGTAATTTTTTTTTATATACAATTTTTTAATAATTCTTGAAAATTAATATAACTATTTAATATGTAATATATAATTACAAATGTTATATTTTGTTCCAATAGATCCAGGACATCCTTAAATGACCAGCATAAGATTCCTGAACATAGAGAACTTAATTTATATAAATGTTTTTGAAAATTAATCTTCTAAATTTCTAAATGCCTGTTGAATATCTTCATGTAATTGATCAAAATCAGCTCTGATTTTTGCTTCACCGTCTTGTACTGGATCCTAAAACAAAAAAAAACATATTTACATTATAGATTTTAAAATGAAGAAATAAAATTTTATTTTATTTTAAGGACAATGTTTACCTTGAATTTCATAGAACTCAATTGATAAAGAATATTATACATGCTATCTTTAATGACATTCCATGTTATTTTATTATCTGATTGTGCCGTAGATTCAACTGCATGTCTTGCCATATCGTAAAATGCGATCATGTTTCGTAACATTCCAACAGTTTTATAAAATGGACAAAAACGATCATATGGCGAATAACTGTATAATAAATAAAAAATAGATATATAATAATAAAAAATTAATATATATGATCAAAGATAATTATAGTGAAAAGATAATTTATACCTATTCTGTTGCAAAAAATCATCTTTTAAGAGTTTCGCAACTTCTAAAGTAATTTTATCTGTCTCTGCAAGAGAAGCTTTACCAACTAATTGTACAATTTCTGATAAATCTTCTTCCTCCTGCAAAATTTCCTTCACTTTCGTTCTCAAAGGAACGAATTCTGCAAAATTTTTGTCATAGAAGTCATCTAAAGCTCGAAGATATTTACTGTATGAAATAAGCCAATTAATTGATGGAAAGTGTTTACGTTGTGCAAGTTTTTTATCAAGACCCCAGAATACCTAAACAATGGATAAAGAAAATATAAAAATAATGTAAGACAAAAATAGATATTAATTCAATTATTACCTGTACAATACCCAAGGTTGCACTAGTAACGGGATCAGAGAAATCACCACCTGGTGGTGATACAGCACCTACAATACTGACGGAACCTTCTCGATCGGGATTACCTAAACATTTCACTCTGTAAACAATATATAATGTTTTCAATAATATAACCAATTAATATATATCAATAATGAATATTATCAATAAATGAAAATTAAAGTTACCTTCCTGCACGTTCATAAAAGCTAGCTAAACGAGCCCCAAGATAAGCAGGATATCCAGAATCAGCAGGCATTTCAGCTAATCGACCAGAAATTTCACGAAGTGCTTCTGCCCAACGAGATGTTGAATCAGCCATCATGGATACATTATAACCCATATCTCTGAAGTATTCTGATAGAGTAATACCTGTAATATATAATCATGAATACATATACCATTGAATTTTAAAAATGAAATATATTGCAATTGTATTGCTTTTTGTTTTTTTAATTATATATTTACCTGTGTAAATAGATGCTTCACGAGCTGCTACAGGCATATTTGAAGTATTAGCAACTAAAGCTGTACGTTTCATGATAGATTCAGTAACACCATCAATTTCCACTGTTAATTTAGGAAAATCGCGCAATACTTCAGACATTTCATTACCACGTTCTCCACAACCAACATAGATAATAACATCAGAATTTGAATATTTTGATAAAGCTTGAGAAATTACAGTTTTACCACAACCAAAAGCACCAGGAATGGCTGTAGTACCACCTTGAACACACCTACAATTTTAATATTATAAGTATCTCTATGTATTTATATTATATGTATCTCATTTTGTATATATATATTTATATGTATCATTATGTATATATATATAATCAAAATAAATTCTTACGGAAAAAGGGAATCTAATACTCGTTGACCAGTAAGTAAAGGATGATTAGCTGGTAATTTTTCAGTGACTGGACGAGGTTGTCTTACGGGCCATACCTGTATATATAGAATTATAGTATTATATGAATATAATATGAATATAGAACTATATTATTATATGAATATAATATAATAATATTAAAGGAAAAACTATTTACATACTTGAAGCATAGTATATTTGTGCTTCTCGCCATCAAATTCTGTTTCTAGAATAACATCCTATAAAAAATATATATTAGATATGTAATTAAAATAAAACCAAGTAAATTTATATATTAATTTATAACTTACAGACACTGTATAATTGCCAGCAGGTGCGATATAGGTCACGGTTCCCTTACTTTTTGGAGGTAAAATCATTTTGTGTTTCACTAATGTATTTTCATAGACTACACCAAACAAATCTCCACCAGTGATGTGGCTTCCATTTTTGATATTAGATGGATTAAATTCCCAAGCTGCACTTCTTGATAATGCTGGTACATTAATACCCTTTGGGATGTAAATAGAATTTGTAAGCTCATTGATATCTTTCAATGGTCTTTGAATACCATCAAAGATACTGCCAAGAATACCAGGTCCAAGTTCTACAGATAATGGCTTTCCAGTACGTAGAACTGGATCACCTACAGTTACACCACTAGTTTCTTCATATACCTATTAATACATAAAAATTTATGTTATAATAATATAATAATAATGTAAAATTAATAATTTTCAAAGTATTTAAAAAAACCATATTATACCTGTATAGTAGCCATATCACCCTCTAAACGAATTATTTCTCCAACTAGTTCATAATATCCTACTCTAACCAATTCATACATAGCTGATCCTGACATTTGTTCAGCTGTAACCACTATAAGAAAATAATAAAAAAAATTATTTATTAAGCCAAAAATACAAACTCGATAAAAAAAATATATATCATAAACTAACCAGGGCCAGATACAGCATATACATAACCAAATTTGGTTTCTCTCTCCTCATTACTAATTTTGGGTAAGCCTTGACTCGTCATTGTGAATTGTTATTCAAGTAAAACCAACAAATAGCTGAAAGTAAATTTATATTATAAAATATAAAAAAAATTATGATGTACAAAGAAAAACATTTAATAGAACAAAAATTAAATTAACACTTCTGATTATATGTATTCTGTAAAAAAAAAAAAAAAATAATAATAAAATGCAAAATATATGTTAATCATTCCAAGGAAATGTAAGTTTTTATATAAAAACAATCCTAAAGAATAATGTTCAATTCTAATGAATAATAGAAAGGTATAATTGTGATTGATGCCACTTCAGTCTGACATCTAATTAACAGCAACTCATTGCACACTAACAAAAATATGACAAAACGAACATAAAAAAATAACGATCGTGGACAATGTATTTTGAATTGAATGTTCTTACACGCGGTCTAAGTCAATTACGGTCAAAATCGGTGAGAAAGTTGATGTCAGCTAATATATCCATTCATCATAAAATTCACGTGAGCAGTTCATTTAAAAAGTAGGCGTAGCCCTTTAAGCCCGCGAGACGTCTGCTCGCTTAATATAATGTCGAATCCAATCAAGATATTGCCATAGAAATAGAATGGCTTAATTCATTTTTTGAATAAATATATATGAAATCGATGATTCCGTATAATTGTAGACAACAAGTAAAACGCATAAATTCTTATGGTGATCGAAAAACGATGGCGCATTCAAACTGGCACGATCGATACTATACGCGCCAGTCTTTTTTGTAAAAATCTCTGGTTTCCTCTATATAGTACGAAATCGTTATAATTGCTTTGACTATATAATTAATTAAGATGAAATAAGATAATCTATAATCAATGAAATAGATGACAATAAGAAACTTACGAAACGAGAAACGAATCGAAGCAAGTCCAGTCTACAATAGCAAGTCAATCTTTACAATCGAGCCTGCTATCACAAGACAGGTCAGCTGACTGAAAGATGTGCTCGTTTTCAATTATTTGGCTTTGTATCTCAGTTAAAGCAGTATTTTCAAGTAAGCGAAATTTTTTATCATCTTTAATTTAATATAGGTGATTTTTCATAAATATTTTATAAAATGTTGAATTATGAATAAAATTAAGAATATGAAGACCAATTTATTTAATTTTTATTATCATATCTATCTTTTCAAAGCAAACTAGTTTCAATTTTAAAAAATAATAATTAAATATAGAATTATACACTTAAATATGTATTAAATATATATTTATATTTACTGCAATTATACTATAACATAATTTGTGTGTATGTATATATATAATATGAATATAAATTAGTAAAGTTAGAAACAATTGACATAAATTGTTTCAATTAATATAGATATTCGTATAGCGTAATAATTATAAATCTGTAAATAAATATTTATATATATTTATGTATTTATTCGTTTTTAATAAAAGTTAAAATAAAAATTAAAATTAAAAACTGTTAAGGTAAATTAAATTTTATTATTTTATATATATTCCTTTTCAAATATTTTTCAATTTCCTAAAGTTTTTTTTGCATAAAATTTCTTTTCAATAAAAGTAATTTTAATTGAATTATAAAAGAAAAAATTTAAATAATAATATAATCTTTCAATTCCTCTCTCTCTCTCTCTCTCT